TATTATTTGGCCATCAAAAGGAATGGAGTACTGACATACAGTACAACATACATGGACCTTGAAAACATTATGCTAAGTAAAATAAGGCAGGCTCGATCTGATCCCATTTACATGAAATGTCCATAATAAGCTAGTCCACAGAGACAGAATGTAGACTAGGAGTTGCCAGGGTCTGGGAGAGCAGGGAATGAGAAGTGATTGACTGCAAGTGGGTATGAAGTTTCTTTTGCGGGATGAAGAAAACATTCTGGAATTAGATAGTGGTGATGGTTGAACAAATCTGAACCCTACTGAATCACACACTTTACAAGGGTGAATTATATAGTATGTGAATTATGTCTAAAACAGCAACAATTCTGTCATGGTTTTGTCAAATATTAAGCTTTATTGTGTCTACAATGGCCCCATTGTCCTCTGAGCTCTGGCCCCAAATGTGCGCGATCTTATCTCCTGCAGTGACTCCTTGAAGGAAGCCCCACTCTCCTCACCTCCTTTCCTTTGTTATACTGCTCTCTGCTTCCCTTGTATCTCCCTGCACCTGAATCCTCCTCCCAAGGCTGCAAATCTGTGGAGCAATATTCCATCTACAGTCAAAAAGACTCTGCAGATGGGTTCACAGTGGGAGTTTTTGCTTTTGTTTTTTAACCGAATCAGCTACCATGAGGAGATTTCACATAAACATCCACATTCTGGCTATGGCAGCTGGCTGCCTACCCAAGAGCCATGCTCCTCTTCTTCCCTGTTAAAGGAAGCTGGGTTTTGTCCTGGTTTCTGCTCATGAACAGCTGGCTCACTGCAGCAGAGGAACCGCAAAATCCCACTTACCTTTCCAGCGACTGGCCTAGGGTGGCTACAGGAACAGTCAGAATGCATAGCCACAGGCAACAGAAACAGGAACTGGCTACTTAAGCAGAAAACAGTTACATTATATGTCAGAAGCCAATTGACTGTAAAGCTGATGAAGCTTAAGCTCCAAAGCCCCTCACTTGCGTGATCCGGTAAGTGCACTAGGTTGGGTAAGGAGCTGTGGCACAATCAGCAGGCATTTGTACAGGGAACACTTCTGGAAAATGTGCTAGCAGGGGTCTCCAACATTTTGGCATCTCTGCGCCACACTGGAAGAAGAAGAGCTGTCTTGGGCCACACATTAAATACATTGCAATGTGTAATCGCAAAAAAATCTCATAATGTTTTAAGTAAATTTACAGTTTTGTGCTGGGCCACATTCATCACCATCCTGAGCCACGTGCAGCCGCAGGTTGGGCTGCAGGTCGGACAGCCCTGTGAGAGACCTAGGAGAAAGAGACCTGAGCTTCCCAAGGTCCAGCGTTTTGGTCCATGATTTCTTTACTTATTCTAAATAAATGTTCACTTTCATACTTAATTCTCCATGTAATGAATTAGATGATCCAGATGTTAGAATTATAGACAAGGATTTTAAAGCAGCAATTAAAACTGTGCTCAAGCTAATAAATGACAATATGCTCATATTGAATGAACAAATAAGAAGCCCCAGTAGAGAAATAGAAACTATTAAAAAATAAACTAAATGGAAATTCCAAAACTAAAAATTCAAATAGTTGAAAGGAGGTTGGAAAAGCGAGCGTCCTAGATTCTAACTGAAAATTCTTCAGATAAGGACACTAGACAGTCCGAAAATATGGGAAATGACCTCTAAAGCTTGTGATCCAGTTCTGTTTAATGAAACAAAATTCAAAGAATGTCCTGATAAAAAGAGACAAAAGTGCAAGAAACGATGACCTTCTATCCTCCACCCTTCTCCTTTCTGCCCTGAACACTGCTGTCTCAGGAGAACCTGATGATGATTGGAGCCATGACAGCCATTTTGCAATCCTGAGGGGGAGTAGTGAGAAGGGAGACACATGACCTAAGCCAGAGCTCCGATTCTGCAGATCTGCTGGACATACCACGGAACTTCCGGCCTCTGGAATTTTCATCACGTGAGATAATAAACTTCTTTTACTTGGGTATTGGTTATTCACAGTCAAAGCACATCCTAACGAAAGCGCAGCTTGTCTTGAAAATGGAGAGAGAGATCTGGCAATACCAGACCTCCAGCCCTTTAGAGTGGGCACAGGCTCTCCAGTCAGGGACCTCACTTGGTCTCTACAAGTAAGTGAGTTTGCAATCCCTGCCCTACACATCTTCTGGGAGATGGACCACTGGCCCCTCTTCTACAAATCACTTCCCAACTCCTGTCTTCTCCACTCCAACTCCATCTAGCTACAAGTAATTCTTCCTCAGAAGTCCCACAGTTTTGTCATAGTCCCCTTCTATCACCTACTGTAACTGTGCAGTCATCTCCTCCCACTTGGCCATCAGCCTCCTGAGGGCAGGAATATTCATTCCTGAATCTCCCTCTGATATCAAATGAGGTGCTAGAATACAGGACACCCTTGGGTGCATGTTTGCTGAATAAATGAATAAACACCCCCTGTAATGTCCAGGATATCCTAGCCTCCAAATTCACCAAGGAGCTTTTAGAGGGTTATGTGTGCTTCTCATTCTGGGAAAATAATTCCCACCATGCTCCATACTCCAGGGAACCTCAGGCCCACTCGGAGCACACCGGAGAACAGTCAGCTCTGAAGCTTGGGTCCCAGACCCCACCCGAGGTTCTGGGCCACCTCCGCCCTCCCCTTGCTGAGGAAGCGTGGTGGGATAAGAGCCTTCCCAGCATGGCCTGGGAATGACTGCCAGTCACCACAAACTCCAGGAAAGGAGAGAAATACACACACACACACACACACACACACACACACACACACACACATCTCCCCAGTTTACAAAAGAGAAAGGTCAGGCAACTTGAAAACACGCACAATAATCACAGATCTACATGGAAGGGACGGCAGCCCCACGGTTCTTCCCCAGAGGGCTCTGCTCCCGCAGATGACAAGGACACTCAGAGCACCTCAAGTTGTTGACAAATCCCAAGGAGCATGACTTCTGTCTATATCAATGCTGTGTCTAATTTACCCTTACAAATGCTTCCTGAACTGGTGGTTGATTTTCATCTCCAGTTTTTGGTAGATACTTTCTTGGCACCTTTCTCGAGGCTCTGGATGTGGCTGTTTTGTTTTATTTGCCTTTTAAATTATGGTAAAAAGCATCTCACATAAATTTTGCCACCTTAACCATTTTTGAGTGTACAGTTCAGTAGTGTTAAGCATGTTCACAGAGTTGTACAGCCATCGCCACTGTGCGTCTCCAGAACTCTTCCTCATCCCAAACTGAAACTGAAACTCTGGGCTCATTAAACACAAATTCCCCACTCCCTCCTCCCCCGTTCCCTGGCAACCACCATTCTATTTTCTGTCCCTGTAAGTTTGACTATTCTAGGGATCTCATATAAATGAAATCATACAGTATTTGTCCTTTTGTGTCTGGCTTATTTCACTAAGCATGATGTCTACAATATTCATCTATGTTGTAGAATATATGTCAGAGTTTCCTTCCTTTTTAAGGCCAAATAATGTTCCATTGCATGAATATACACATTTTATTATCTAGTCATCCATCAATGGCCACCTTTTGGCTGCTGTGAGTAATGCTGCAATGTGCATGGGTATACAGATATCTGTTCAAGTGCCTGCATACAGTTCTTTTGTGGACTTGGTCTTTGACTTTCTCTAAATTAGTCAAGATTCCACTTTGGACCTGGAATTTTAGGCCGGTCTTTATTCCAACGGGAGGATGAGAGAACCCCAGCATGATCCATGAGAAATACTCTGGAGTCCAGGGAGCAGAGCTGAACCAATTGGGACCCCAGGGGCAGGTTCCTGGCCCCTCCAGTTGGAGGGCGGCAAAAATCAAGGATGTTGTGGCAAGAAGCAAAGAAGAGTGGGACATCCCCCTCTGCCTCTCTGGGAGGAGACACATACCACTGCCTGGAGGAGAAGAGCAGAACAAGGGAGGCCTCTGTTCCCCAAAAGGGCAGGCATGCTGCAGAGGTGGCTCCGGGGGCTCCCGAAAGGGCAGCCTGGCTGCAGGGGCAGAGGTTATGAAAAGGGAGAGGATGCCGAGACTGGTGCTGTTCAGAAAAACCTCAGAGGGGCCTAGGTGTGGGGGAGGGGAGAGGGGTCAGGAGTGCGGAATGCTCTAATTTGACAGCTGGCCCCCAGCTCAGCCGACTGGAAGCAGGGAAGGCACAAAAGCAGAGATTAGGAGGGCCCCATAGGGCGTTAATGGTGCATATCATGGATCTCTAACCTTGGCCTTGAGAGCTGTGCCTGTGGCGTTTCAGTGGGAGGGTGGGCAGACTACAGCTGGTGAGCAAGGGCGGGGTCTGGACACCTGTGAGTCCCTCTCACCGTCTACTGCAAGCAACTTCCAACTGGTTATACGATATTTTTTTGGTGCCAAAGTGTCTGGGTTCAGGTATGAAATGATGACAGCCTAGGAAGGGCGCAGCCACTGAAGGGAAAATCAATCACTTCTGTGAACTCCAAACTCCTTGACGTATAAATGTGACTTAAATGCACCCCTTAAAATGTCAGGTCCAAGGTGTGAGGCTTTCATTCCAGCCAAGACCAAACTCAGGGGCTCCACTGAAGCCTTAGAAGCCAAGGTGGGCTGCTGGTAGGGACAGGGTCTCAGGCCCCCTGTATTAACTCAACCCAATGAGCTTCCCTGATTTGACATAGGTATTCAGAAAGAACTGCCCCCTTAAATCCAGAGAACAGGCCTTCTAGACTGTTCTGGGATCCCGGCAGTCTGTGAGGTCAGCCTGGACTTGGCTGCCATGCCATGTGCCTGAGGCCAGATCAAGGTGCCACGGAGCCTGTTGCCTCAGCTTTTTACTAACGTCGGAGCCAGAGCCAAAGCTGGTCTGATGTCTCCACATCCCGGTGATCAACGTTCCCACTGGTACATCCCCTGCATGCCAGGCTCCAGGGAGACTGGGTGCTGTGTACTATACGGGCTCTCAAACTCAGGTGCTCAGGGTGAAAGTCTCCATCCCACACCCCAGTACTGACCAGACTGATGAAAGAGTCTATCCATGCTGAGATCCCACAGGAGGCCAAAGGCTCTCAAAGAAGTTTCTGGAGGCCATGTCAGGAGCTAGGAGAAGAAACAGGTTAGCTGGGTCATTCCTGTAGAGTAACGGTAGTAAACCTTTACTGTTCCACATGAATAAATCCCATTTAACAAGTCCACATGGTACAAGGAAAGTGCACATGGTACAAGGAAAGTGTCGTTATTGCCATTTTACAGAGGAGGAAACCAAGCTCAGAAGGGCGAAGCAACTTTCCCAGGGTCACCCAGCTAGTAAGTCACAAAGCCAGGATTCAATCCCACGTCTCTGTGACTTTGAACTTCCTACTCTGTCCACCTCCCTGTGAGGGGATCTTGTGTCCTTTCCCCTCATGCCCTGTGGTAATGGTGGTGCCCCTCCAGGGCAGGGTCCAGTGTAGGAAAGAGAAAGAGCCTGAAAGTCTGCTGAACAACGACAGATTGGCCTCTCTTTGTGATCTCCATCAATCCAGGTCAGTGCCTTAATTTACGGTCATCTGAGACTACCGGCTCTGGGAGGTCCTTGGTACTGAGTGCAGACCCTCAAACAACCTGGGCTGGGGAGGGGGCGGCAGGTTGCCCACCTGACTCACACTCACTGGGATCCTTACTTGAAGGCTCCTTGAGTCTGAGGGTTGAAGGGACCAAAATTCTGCTACGCTGCTTTCTGGGATATTGATTTTAAACTGTTTATCAGAAAGCAAGAGGCTCAGAAAACATCTTTGACTGCCACCGCCCTCCCTCCTCGCCCCCCGCCGCCTCTTGCCTTAGAGATTCAGAGAAATCTGCTTCTGGAAGCAGATCTTAGGATGTCACCTTAGTCTAATTTGAATTAAGTATGTTAAACAAGAGGACTTCAAGCAGGTGCCTGTTTGTTAGACACTCTCTATGTTCCACTGTTCGAGTGGCCTAACAAGAGCTTTCCTGCCATGTGTGTTTTGCTCTTCCTCAACTACTTGTGAATCACCCATTCTCTCTTTTGAAATCTAATACCCTGCCCTCCCTTTTTCCTTTGCCCCAAAATGTCTTATATACCCAGTGTTGCCGCACTGTCTTTGGGATTTCCCCCATGCCCATATATTAAGCTTTGATTTTTCTCCTGTTAACTGTCTCTGTTAATTTGGTTATTAGCCCAGCCAGAGAAACTTAGGAGATGGGAGAAAAAGTATTAGTATTGTTTAGCCCCCATGGGATCACAAGCTGGGGATCTGGGCTGGGTGACATGGAGATGATCAATGGGACGGCACCCTCCCCGATAGTGCCACCTGGTCTGGGACACACAGACCAGGCCGTGCGGCCCATGAACCCTGCCTTCTGAGAGTGCTGAGAAAAAGACACTATGGTAGAAGCCCCGGGGACAGCCCCTTTCAGGACAGAAGCTCTGTCCCAACAGGCTCCGGGCTGGTGCTGGCCAAGGGCCCTGAGCCGTCCCTCTCTGGACATTAACCTTGGTTGGAGGGAGTCCCTCACCCAAGGTCACACCCCCTCTTCAAGTGCAGCCTTTGTCTGACAGTTGGCCTCTGCTGGACCCCTCGTCTCCATGGGTACAACTCTAAAGGGTCACCCCAGTTCCAGAGCCCTCTGCGGGGCTTGTTGTCATCCTCTCTTACATTTGCTTTGCCTCCACCCAGGCCTGCTGCTCTCCTCGCTCCCACGGTGCTGCTGAGAGTGATCCCCTGCACCGGAAATTTGCTGGGAAACCACATCTCGAGTCAGCTTCCTGGGATCTGACCTAAGACACCAGAACTCTGTCTCCTCCTCCTTTTATAACTTCCCCTAACTTCTTCATAGCTGGACACTTGATCTTTTCCCAACAAGAATATAAATTCAGGGCATATGCTATGTGCTTTTGTCTACCTCCCCAGCTAGGCTAACCTGGCAGGTACACACTAGGACTCCAGTGACAAATTTATGTAATACCTGAGCAGTAAGGCCAAAGTCTGTTTGCCCAGCACCCACTGTACACCACACTGAGGCCCTGAGTGGGGTCAGGGGGCTGGCAGCAGGGCCTAGTCCCCATGGGACCTCAGGAGATTCTTTCCAAAGAAACGGTCCAACGAGCAGGTTTGGGGAGGTGTTCCCTGCTTACCCACCCCCAGCTCTAGTCAACCACAGGTGTATAGGTGGGTCCTCAGCTGCCCAGTGACCCTGCTCACCGCTGCCTTTGATTGGATGGAGTGGGGTTGGGGGTGTCACTTAACCCCTCTTAAGACCAATCAGGCTTTCCTTCCCGAGAATTTACATGGCCATGGAGTCTGCCTAGTAAAGAAAAGCCAAGGCTTGTCCTGGGAGCTCGACCGTTCTCCACCCTGGTTCCTGCTCCTCCTGAGGACCCCATGAATCATCCCTGCACCTTTATAAGAATCCCGCAGCAGCTTCAGGGAGCTCCATGGATTTTTGCCTCTCACAATCAGAGTTCACATAACTGCAAGGTTCAGAAGTATGCTGAGCCCCACGGCCACATTCTAGGCATGTACCTGGGACACCAATACCCAAATCTTTCCATCCCTAGAGCTCAGTATGCAGCAGATCCTCAACCGATGTCTGCAAATGAATGGACGCTGCTGTTACTGTGGGAAAATTTGTTACAAGTGGCAAGAAAACCAAAACCTCAGAAGCGAAATGGCAGAGTACACCCTGGGAAGGTCTGTAGTGCGACCACATGACAGACACTTGGTCACTATGCTGCCCTGTCCTCCTTCCCCTTCAGAGACAAAGATGCTGATCAGAGGTTTGCCCACAGGCTCCCTAGGTCAAGTGCGCCCTTTCACTTGATCTGGCCTCAGCTGTGGGAGGGGGAGTTTTGTGTCTCCTTCCTGAAGATGGAGAACTGGAGCCCCCTCACTAATATTCCTACCAGAAGATGCCCAGGCCCCGGCGCAGAGCCACCGGTTGGGGGTAGGGCGGGTGGTGACCATAAAAACAAGATGGGCCACAGGACTTCCTCATGGGACTACCAGCCCCAGTTTACATAGTACAAACTGAGGTACAGGACTGACGCTGGATAACTTGCCCAAGGTCACATAGCAGGAACAGCAGGGGTGGAAATGCACACAGCCTGTCCGGCCTCAGGGCAGGGTCCTCTGCTGTAGGGCCCAGCCTGGGGTGACAGAGGTGGAAGAAGAGACAGGGCAGGGCTAGCTCGCTCCTCCCAAGGCAATCCACGCTGCGTCAGGGTCACACAAGGACCCTCTGTGGGCGATGTCTCAGATGGGTCCTTTGTGCCTCCCAATGCCCAATTGTGCGTTTTGTCACATACTATATGCATGGAGCGCAGAGACGCTGCACTGACTGGGGGCAGAGAAGAATGGCCACACTGTTCCCTGTCACTAGCCTACCATTCCTACTGGGCCTGGGGGAGGGGCAAGGGCAGCAGCCACACACCAGAGCCCCAGGCACCAAGGGGGTCTTTTTCTTCTGGGGCAGGGAGGGGCAATGGGAAGGAGAGAGCCAGAGGGCTCTTTCTGGAAGGCAACCCATGGGCTGAGGCCGACTTCCTTGAACAATCCGCCCTGCATGCCGGCTCTAATTTACAGCTGAGATCCAGGTTCCAACTGGCAGGAATGAAACCAGCTGGAACTTGTGACCTGCCCTCCCCAGACAGGGATGGTGCTGGGTGGGTGCCAAGGCTGGCATTCAGACCACAGCAGCTGGTTCCTGAGCTGTCCCTGCTGGCTCCTAACCTCTTTCTCAGCGCGAAGGTTTCAGGCCCGGGGCAGAATGCCGTTTCCCAAGTGCAATGCCCCAGCAGCACCAGTAGGGAAAAAAATGGGCAGATACAGCCACTGCTCTAGGCTTTCCCAGTTGACCTACGACTCCACAGAGGGAGGCCAATGCTCAAACACCTGAACACCCCCAGCTTGAAATTCATGAGAGCCCCCACACCTCCAGGGTGCTCCAGGGCTGTAGTGGGCCCTGAGCCAGGACCTGTGACTTGGAGTAGAGATGAGTTGGGATACAGGGGAGCACCTGTGGAGTAGCAGAGACAGAACCACTGAGAGGACTTCTGGTGGCACAGGCGGCAGCACTCTGTGAGGCCCACACCCTGGGTGCGGGAGGGACTGAGAGCACGGGCTGGTCGGAGTAGCTCCCTGACTTTGCCGTCCCAGGCCTTCCTCCCTCCTCTTCCTTCAGCTGGGACAAACTCAGCAGAGGAACACCCTTGTCCACCGCCCCCCATCCCCCCAATCCCGCCTGCCGGGCCTCGCTACAGGCCAGAACGCTCCCGCCACCTAGTGGCAGGCCTGAGGTTCTCACCTGGAACAACCACTGGAGCAGGGGCACAGGGCAGGTGGGCGCAGGCGCCTGCAGGTAGAGGTTGCTCAGGAGGCCGCTGCGCAGAAAGGAGAGTTGCTGGGCCAGTGGGGAGCTGTGGGGGCAGGGGAGCCAGGTTAGGGGGCTCCATGCCAGCAGCCTGGCAGGCTTCCTTAACATACCTGTTTCAGTAAAACGGGGTGGGGGTGGGGGTGATTCTCATATTTCAGCTTCACCAGGATGCTCGAATCACATCAGTCATTGCTATAGACAATGACTTGCTGCTCTGGCTGGGTGGCTGGCTCAACTGGACCATCATCCTGTACATCAAAGAGCTGTGGGTTTGATCCCTGGTCAGGGTGCATATGGGAAGCAAACGATTCCCTCCCTCCCTCTGGTGAGCCCTTGCCACAAGCGGCTGTCAGAAGGACAAACCACGCACATCGTCATCAGAATCACGTGTTCCCCACGAACACATCTCACAGTTTTGAACACATGACCGGATAGTACATTTTGTCCTTTCCATTGGACAGAGGGGAAACTGAGGTGTTTACCAAGGCTGATTAGAGGATCTGAGTCAGCTGAGGTGAGAATCTGGGAGTTACAGGTCTCAGCCCAGGGCCCCACTGTGGCGGGTGGACAGTGTTACTGGTGGGGCCCATGTGCGCCAGTGTTTGGGCTCTGATTACATGGGGCTCTTCTGCCTATCCTGTGTTTTTCCGAAACAAAAGGGACACCTGAGAAGAAGGGGGAATAACAGAAAGAGGCCCAAGATGGGGAAATTCTGGGAAGCAAATAACAAATGAGGTGCCACAGAGATGCTTCAGAAACCACGTGAGCAGCAATGGCCCTGAGTCCAGGGGTCTGACACTGAGTCACGGTGTGCCTGTGGCCAGAACCTGTATTTCCTCTCACGACAGGCTCCTGCTGGGCCTCTGCCCACTAATAGGAGCTCTCAAAATACCACTGCTGGTGTGGAGGGGGGCCCCTTGAGTCCACTGGTTGGTCATGGGGACCTACAGGATCCCAGGTCCCTGTAAACCAGGAGTTGAAATATTCCATGTGGTTTTAGGGCATTTGGTGAAAGGAGCTTCGGAAGTCATTTTGGAAGGTTGGCGGGACTGACTTTCTTCATCCCTAGGGAGGCTGGGTCAGTGGGAGGACTCTCCTACCGGCTGCATTTTGTGAATGCTCCTTTGCTCTCTTTCTACATAATGTCCTAAAGGCAATTAATATGGACTCCAGGAAACGGAAACGTAATTTCATGTTTGTTCTCTTTTAAATGGCCAGACTTAAAAATGTCTGGGGCCAGACATTTTTAAATGTTCATGCAAAGAACATTTCTAACAGCATTTAAAACCATGACTCCAGATAGAAATGTCCTTGTCGGTCAGCCCCGCCTTCTTCTCTTTTTAAAAAAGGACATATTTTAATCTGCTAGGAACAAAATGCTCCAAAACAAAGATTCTCCTCAAGCCAACTTGCTGTCTCTTTGAGCGTGTCCAGAAAATTTATGAATTGTATATATTTTTTCCAAGTCATTTAAGTTCAGAGGAGAAAGCGGCTTTCTTCCTGCGTTTTGAGGTTGACCGCTCTGAAATAGACCTTTATTTGTACATACCAATACGTGTGCGCCCCAGGGCTTCTGGCACGCTTCGCTCAGCTCCATGTGCTTGGTCACATGGACACATTCATGGACTGACCCCACGATGCCTGCATGGTTCGAGTACAGCACCCTGAATGCGGACAACACCCAGGCAAACAATGTCTGCAGGACCTCACAAATTGGCAGAACTCGGCCAGGGGCCATGTGGCAAGGAGGCTTGTGCCCCAGGGACTCTGAGGAGACTGTACAAGCCCCTTTTGGCTCAATCAACATACTTCCAACTGTTGCTCCAAGGGGGAGACACCACTGGGGTTGCAATGCCTCCCTGCTGCTACGCGCACCTTGCAGTACAGTTTTTGCCACAGAAATGATCTCCAAGGATCGGCCGTCGCCTGCGGCACTTGTCTCCTCCCTCCCTCTGAAATCGGTCTTGGCTATCGCGCCTAAGAAGGAAAAGGACAACTGTCGGGGAATGTGTGGAGAAGTGGCACAGAGGCCGAATTAGGGTTAGTCTGTAACACCGGCAGCAAGAGATGGCAGAAAGGGTGACTCAGCGGTGCCCTGGAGTGAGTGGCTTTTAGGAACTCTGTGCCTAAGGCTGGATGAGATGTGGGGACTCTCCCCTGGAGGCTGGGTCACAAATGCTGCTTCACCTTGCGGGTTCACTGGCCTACTGCCTTCCGTGGAAGGGACAAGGCTGATGGCCTGCGTAAACTCCAGCTTGGCAGAAGGGCCTCGCTGCAGACACTGCCCGACCTGAGCAGGGGAGAAAGTTCCCACAGAAGCACCTGGTGGGGAAGGTGAGAAGAAAGGGAAGGGGCAGGAGGTATGTGCTGAAAACTCAAACCCCTCGGGTCACAGAATCAGCTGCTGTTAGATTTACAAAAACCCTCGCCGTCAGCAAGTCAGGAGCACACGCTGGGTCCAAGTGGGTGCCTAAGCCTATGGCTAAGGCAGCGCTAAGGTCCGAAGTTATGCTGAGAACATCAGAGGACCTGCACAGCAGAAGCCACACCGGCCTGCTGAGCACAAAGCCCCAACTGTTGACCCAGCAGATCCCAGTGAGGGAGGTTCTCACCAGGACAAAGAGCAGCCAGTCAGAAAACTGCTAATCCCCAGCCACCACGGCAAGGACAGAGGGCCCCGGGAACAGGGGGAAGGAAGGGGAGAAATTAGGCAAAAAGGGGAACTGTATAAACAAGGGGAGAACACAGAGGGGACTGGCGTGGGTCCACATGCGGGTGCCAGGGCACAGCTCCGACCTCTGCTCGGACTTCCCATTCCTGATAACACCCGGCCAAGAGTCCTCTAGTCTTCCCCTCCTCATCCACCTCAGGGCAGCAGTGCCAGAGGGCAGGTCTCTCAATGCCTTGGGAATCCCAAGTGATGGTGGAGGGATAAACACTGGTGTGGCTATTTATATAGTATCAGTTTCTGCGCCCGTGCCAAGTTACTCAAATGAAAATGTAAAGGCCTCGGCAGAACAGAAACAAATAATGCTCAGAGTGTTCATGCCTGCTTCTCTTCTTTTTCTTTCTTTTCTTTCCTTTGTTAAAGTTAAGCAGCACCACCGGGTCAGAATCAGAGACACCAGAGATAACCCTGCCCGTGGGCTCTGTTTTCAGGGACAGTTGCAGCCGGTTGGGCGGCTCAGCCCTGTCCACACTCTAACTGCTGGATTTATTTCACAGGCTTCAACCCCGCCATGCCAGGAAAAGGAAGCGGTCGTGGCAAAGCAAGGGCTGGGCCACCGGGAGATCTGGTGCCCAAGAAGCACTGATACACATGCAGCTCGGACTGGCCACGTGCTCCCGCTGAGGTATTCAGAGTGGGGCCCTGGGGTGCACACCAGGTGCCCTGGGAACACACTGCAGACACCACACCACCAGGACACCCCCACACACCCTGCAGGGCCAGAGGAGCACCCTGAATAATTCAGCAGGCAGGTCCCCCCTTTGCTGGAGCTTCTCCTGCCTCCTGGCCAGAAGTGGGCCTGTCCCGAAGCTTTTCCACTCCGGGGACCGGATTTCCTTTTGAACTACTGTCAAGGGAGGAGGAAAAGGTTCAGCCCCGGTACCAACTTTGTCCTAAAGGCATGTGACTTTGGTCCCAGGGTACTGACCTCAGGTCATACATCCAGCTGGGGGGCGACCAAGATGGGATGGCCGGGGCCATCTCCAATCCCACAGCAGGGGGCTCCGGCGAGAAGGGTTCTTGCCCAGAAGCCCGTGCAGGTCCAGTCCAGGAGGACGTGGCCTGGCGCTCAGACCCTGGGGCTGCCCTCCCTTGCTCTGCCATCTGAGACAAACAGCTTGCTTACTCTGTGCCAGGCTTTCCCACGGTGAACAGTGGGGAGAAAGATAATACTCCTTTTCACAGAATGGGGAGAAGTGACTATTTTTAGAAGAGATTTTTAAAAACTGCATTCACTTTCTCTCCTCCTCAAATGATTAAAAATAATACATGTTCACTATGGAAAGTTTGGAAAACACAGGAGTATAATGAGGAAAGTTAATATTACCTGTAATCACACAGTGTTAACTTTTTGTATGACAAGAAATGGACACATGTTGCTTTTTTGAGAGACCAAGTGATCTTTTATTCTTCCTCCATTTTAGTGTTTCTGGCTGAACACAATGGGATAATTATTAAGGACTAGTATCTCCCATTCTTGTGTCTGAACTTGAAGTCCTTGGCAAAAACAGGAAATAAAAGATGACTCCAAGTCTAAGCAGTGACTTTCAGGACGCATCCCTCACCCACTGCAGGGCAGGGGCCCCCTGACCTGACCAGGGCAGGGCATCCCTCCAGGTGCCCGCTGCGCTTCATTAGCATGCCTGAGGGGGGAGGGCCTGAACTCCTTCCTCCAAGGAAGCTGGCCAGACACCTGGTCCCATTTGGCAGGGCTGCTCTGATCCAGGTCACCGCTCTACAGGCCATCTCATCTGTCAAACACTTCCTGCAGGCCATCCAGCCCCGGATAGAAACCCCGCTGTTGGCACAAACCATGAGGCTGCTCAGGAAGCACCTTCCTTTCTCCTGTCCTCTGCGCGCACCACCCCCCAACTCCTGCCCAGCCCCCTTCACTGTCTCCTCCTTTTTCAGCTCTGCTATCTTTCTTCTTCTCCCTTCATACCATTTCCCCTTTTCTTTATCTCTTTATAGATACCTTTTCAATTGGGCAGAGTGAACCTTTATTGATATTCATACACTCAGGCCAAATCACCTCACATCACATCCAGGGGTATATTCCAGACCTCCAGGCAAACATTTATGTATATGGATTTAAGAATATTCTTTACCACACTTTTATAATAGGGAAAAGTAGGAAACAACAGACATGTCAAGAAAAATGAGGACAGTGATTAAACGTGTCTGGCACCAGTGCAATGCGGTATTATTTCCCCAGTTGCATTATGCTAAGTGCAGTGTTTAGGCCTTATTTAGATCCTGATTTGAATATGTAAAAAACATTTACAAGACCATTGAGGAAATAGGAACATTGACAGATATTAGTGATATTAAGAGATTACTATATTTTTTTCAGGTATAATAATGATATGGCTGCAATGTCGAAAGATACAGTCCTGTCTTCTGGAGACACAAATTGAAGTATGTACAGATGAAGTTATATGTGCCTGGGGTTTACTTAAAAATAAGCTTGAGGGGACAATGTCTGTGGGCAGGAGTAGAGATGGAACAAGGTTGGCTTTGAGTCGGTAAACGTTGAAGTTGAGTGCTAGGTACACAGAGGTATATTGTACTGTTCTCGCTACTTTTATGTATGCTTGAAACTCTCCATGATACACAGTTCTAAAGGAAATGCACCCAAATCTTATCTATTATAAACAAGATGGATTTAGAATTAATGGAATAGATGCAATAAAGCCCCAAGTAGCTGGAAAATGAACAAGATTCCTGTGTTCAAGTCCTAAAGTGGCTGAAGAGGCCACAGAAACAGCCTGGCCTCTGTGCTCCTTAGGGGCAGGGCGGGCCAGGGGGCCTCCCCTCTGCCCAGCCCCCTGCCAGCCCGCACGAGCGCCACAAGGACGGCTGCTGCACCGGATCCTGCGGGCTTTCTCTGTCTCTTATTCTTAGCGGTATAAATTCACAATTGCAACTATGAATGTTACTGTCATAAAGTTTTTTTTAAGCCCTTAAAAGCACCATAGTCAGTGGTTATGTGATAATGATCATAAATTTACTTCCAAGAGAACAGGAACCAGCTGTCTTAACGTTATACACAGTGCACTTGTGGCTGGGGACAAACTTTTCACAATCACACAGAGACTGACATAGAGTGTCTTGAATGAGTACACGGCAGAGACGACAACATACTCTGGAAAACTGCCGATGGCCCAGAAAGTGGCTCCAGTGTGGATGGAGAGGTAACTCCAAAGGCGTGTAGGAGGAGCGTGACTAAAGTTATTTCATGAAACTCAGGTGTGTGGGAGGAAGAGCAATATGAGTACATAAACACACAGTCTAATATTTGCTGAGATGTAAGATTAAAAAAATTAAATATTGTTAGATACGCATGGCTATTTCATCTATATCTCTGAAAGTTGACAAAACCAAATGGGCCAAACACAGCTTTGGATTTCCTCCTTTAGGGTGGACCTAATCACTGGGACCCGAGGGAGGGGCCTGGTTACACAGGATAGACATTTACCTGAGGAACATTTCTTCCAGGTGGTTATGGGGCTTCAGGTGTGAACAGTCCAGGATGCAAGGCAGGGGGTGACGCCTGGGTAGAAATGTGGTCTCTCCTGGATGTACTGATGGGATGACCTGCAGGGACATGGAGAACCTCTCCACCAGCTTCCTGGCAAAGCAAGGGATGGGAGAGCCAGGTCATCAGGTGCACCTGGTCTGCAGCTCGGACCAGGGCGGGGCCTGGGGGTGGGAGTACCAAACGAGGGGGAGAGCGCCACCTGCTGAAGGACGAAGAGCCCACAAGATGCAAACTAAGGAGCCTTTTCCTTTCCCCTCTGTCGTACACCTGATCCCTCCCTCAGTCCCAGAGCCAGAGGTCCTGGTGACGAGCCCAGCCCCACCTGTCGGCTCTTTTCAGTTCCAGCACTCACTGAGTGCCCACCATGTGCAGGTGCCAGGTGCTGGAGGATGAATCAGGTGTGGGCTGCCCTTGCGCTTCCCAGGACCCTGCAGCAGGAGGATGGGCCACAGAGCTGAGACATGGGTCAGCCAGGGGCAGGGAGAGCGTCTGCGCCATGAAGAAGCCCGGGCTTCCTCTGGGCAGCAGTCGTCAAGCTCCATGATCAGGAGGACTCCCCGGGAAGCAGCTCAAATGCAGATGCCCCGGCCCCACCTGCTCTGCTCTGTGGCCAGGCAAACTCTGCTCACTTCATGTCAGGTGACCCAATGTCAGGGAATGACCTGAATTACAGGGTCGTCCTGAGGATGAAATGGCACAGTGAGGGGGTGGCATTAGGGAGGTTCTGATCCTGCAGCCTTTTGGAAGCAGCCTGGGAAAACCAGCACACAAATGGTAAAACAATTTTCTGTTTTGTTAATTTCTTTGCCATTTGAGATTAATTTCTTTGCTGTTTGTTCGAAAAACTGTGACTTCCAATGTTGCTTTTATAAAAAGTACAAATTATTAACAGTCTGTAAGAAGTGGCTCACCTGTAAAAGGGTCTTAACCCTGTCCCCAATCACTGTTCAAAGGGACTTTTGTGATATTAAATATAACGTCTGTACGTCATTCAGAGTTCCGTGATGACCCTCACACAACTAATTAAGGATTTCCTGTGCAGCCCAGATCTGAGGATAAAGGATGCAGTTGTGGTTTAAATGTCCTCCCTCTCTGACCCCAGTACGCACATAAGGTCTTTTAACTTGAAGAAATGAAGAATGTAGGACGTTGTCCATTCAAAGTTACCAGACAGTCCTTAGCGTGTGAGCAGATAATCTGCTCAGGATGCTCAGGGTCTTTTCTGAGGGGCAATTGTGGCATAAGTTTTATGACTTCTAGTCACAGGCAACTTGTCTGCCTGATGGGACCAGCCCCAGCCTCAGCTCACCCACTCCAAGCCTATACTCCTCAGTGCTCCACACCCTACTCAGGGAGGGAAGAGGCTGCTGGCTTTGTGCATCAGGGAGTTATTTTCTTTGAAGCAGGGAGTTGAACTGTCTCATCAAAATGATCTCACATCAAAACCATCACTTCAAAGTGGCTGTTGTCAGAAAGGCTTTCTCAAAGTCCAGCTTGAAAATGTCACATGCGCAGAAAATTATCAGCAGTTTTAAAGCCTGAAACCACTTCTGTCTTACGCTGGTTGCCCAGATAACTCTCTTCCTGTGAGGATTTCAAAATATCTAAGCCATAACTTCTGAAATCCTATATGTATGCAGTAGGAAGGCAAAGCACTAAAATAATTATTCTCGCTAGAGGGATTTTTAAAAGGTTCAGTTCCAAGGCTGTCTATCCAGCCAGTTGGGAACCTGGAAACCAAATCCACAGGCCCCACCTTAGAGAGACAAGTACTTTCATCACATATGACGTCCGCCGGTTCCACTGTCTTCACACCCAGACATCTGCACTCAGATGAGCCATGTGACCGGCACAGCACCTTTCCTGAGGTCTCTGGGCAGCCTGTGAGCAGCGCTCAGCCTATCTGACCACTTGGATTTGCACAGTGAGAACTGGTACCAGGTAGGTGGCAGGAACCCCTGGGTCCAGGCCGGGCCTGCGGTGACTCCTGCCCGTTTCTGTAATGAGGTTTTAGGGAACAATCACGCTCATTCAATCAACAGGTTGTCTGGAGGAGTGTTCCGGCTACAACAGCAGAGCTGAGTAGTTATAAACAGAGACTGTATGGCCCTCAAAGCCTACAATATTTACCATTTACAAACTTCCCACTAAGCATGCTCATCCCTGATATAGTCCAGAGATGATAATTAGAAAAACTTCAGAAACAAGCGAACAGCCAAAGTGTCACTCATAATCATCTCTGGGCAACAATAACATTTGGGGAACCCTAAAGAGGAGAACCTCTGTAAGTGGATGTCAAATGCAAACTTCACCTGTCATTGCATGGACCAATGCTGGACACTACCGCAGACTTATGGAAAAAGCAAAGCCTGGACAGGCAGACAATCGGGGCATGTTGACCAACCTGCCCTCTGTCACATGGCTGAGGTGGCTCCCCTCCTGCAGCCCACCCCAGCTCTTCCTGAGCATACAGCTTCTGAGAGAGGGAGAAAGAAAGGAAGGCAGGAAAAGACAGCCAGACAGAAAAGATCTAACCTGACTCCACTTCCCCCTTCAACTACTGCCCATTTTTCTCTTTCACTCTGCTCCTCCTGTTCTCCTATGAACCTACTCCAGCCAGGTCTGCCCAAAGCATCCATCAGAGCTGCTCTTGTCAAGGTCAACGTGACTTCTAGGTTTTGCCCTTGGGCCCCTGTCTCTTCTCTCTGCGTAGTGGAGGGGTGTCTAACCTTTTGGCGTCTCTGGGACACACTGGATGAAGAAGAGTTGTCTTGGGCCACACATTAAATATACAAACACTAACAAAAACTCATGAGCAAAAAAAAGGTTTTAAGTAAATTTACGACTTTGTGTTGGGCTGCATTCATAGCCATTCTGAACCGCATATGGCACATGGGCTGTGGGTTGGACAGTCCTGGTAGTGGTTCCCCAAGTCAGCTCACTCAGTTTTGTGGTTTTAAATGTCATTGTACATAGGAACTTCCAAGCTTGCCTCTCCAGATATAGCATCCTAGCTACCTCCTTGATCCCGCCTCTGGAATCTCCCAAGTGGACTCTAGATCCTACCCCAGCCCACCCAACATCACTTAGGCTTACCGCAGACAATGACAACCTTCTGCTTGCTCAGGCGCAAGCCCTTCAGGCCTCCTTTAATTACTATCCCCCAATACTCTGGTTTCTCTTCAGATCGTAAAAATCTTTCGCCTTTTAATTACTATTCCCCTGCTCTCCTTGACACAGTGGCAGAGGATCCTGTTCAGGTGAATGGTGGCAGCCCACGCAGAGGAAAAGCGGCATCCAGCACTGCCTCAGCCTCCCTGATCTCCTCTCCTCCATCCGCCTCCCCTGGCGGCTCGCCCCAGCACACCGGCAGTGTCTGGTCTAGGGGTGGGGCGGGCCCAGAGCTGCCTCTCGCCTCTCTCAGGGATCTGTTTAAAAGTCTTGTGCTCACAGAGGCCTTCCCTGACCCCTCATTCAAAATCTCCCAACCCTCCCAACAGTCCTGATGTCCCCTCTCTACTTTATCCTTTCTCATTAGCACTTGTCACATAGTTTCATTTAGCTGGTTTACCATTAGTCTCTCTGCCCTGAAAGCAAGTGATACGAGGGCGGATGTGTTGGTTTGGCTTTGTGTCTGCTGTATCCCCAGAGTCTTCGCCAGAGCCTGGCACCAGGCTGGCACTCAGTAGATGTTTGTTGGATGGATGAATGGGTAGGTGGATGGACGGATGGACAAACACAGTGTGGATGAACTAGTAACAGTGTACCCTGAAGGCGGAGTCAACTGTGGTCCTTAAGCATCTCTGAGGTTCGGGCACAGAGTCCACCCACCGCCAGTCAATGGGCTCGCAGACACCACCTGCATGACAGCATGGAAAGCGGCCACCCTCTCTTCCCCAGGCAGGGACAGTGAACAATGTCATGTGGCTGCATTCTCCCCTTTAAAGGCGGTTTTCATTTAGACTTTGGTTTTGTATGGTTGTTGTCCCAAGAGATCCAGTTCTATAACTGTGGCAGACAGTTGGGGCAGAGTGCCTGTGTCCTCAAAGGTCCACACTAGATCCTGACACACAGTTGGTGAATAAATATTTCTTGAATCAATGAATGAATATGGGTTTAGGAGAGGAAGGCAACCTGAGAACTCACAAATGACACACAAATCACTGGCTGAAATTGTCCAAAACCCAGAGTGTGGCAGACTAAATCCTTTGCCTGGAGAGGTGGGTGCAGGGGTACTTTTCCCCCATACCCTCCCCATCTGTGCCTGTCCTCACCCTGTATCTTCCCTGGTGCCCCCTTGAGGCCCTGGGTACCCACCCCTCACTTACGTCCCCACCACGTCCCTCCCTCTTCCTGTGTCCACTCTCCCCACCTGTGCTCTGGTGTGAGAGGCAGGTCCTCCTCATCAAGATCCAAGGAATCAAGGTCAGGACAGCCTTGCACAAGCAGCTTCTCCTGCTCCTGCTCCAGTGCTTGTTCCCTGCAGGGAGATGAGGACCGACAACGGGGTAAATGCTATTCCTGGTGGGTGATCTTGTCCTGTTACTGGGCTGCAGGGATCCCCAAGAACATGGTGAGGCCTAGGAAGGAGGGACCAGGAAGCCACATTGCCCTGCCACAAAAACATAGTTTTAGCGGGGGAGGAGCTGCGCTGCATGGATTGTGTTATATCTCAACATGCACAGAAGAGCAGACAGGACTGAAGAAAGATAATTTTCACCACACTCCTTCAAATGTGCTTTTATTAGTGCACCTTATTTTGGCATTTGCTCACTTTTTTAAAAAAAATCTTCACTTGAGGACATGCCCATTGATTTTAGAGAGAGGGGAAAGCAGGAAGAGAGAGGAAGAGAAACATCAATGTGAGAGAGAAACATCAGTGGGGTTGCCTCTTGTACATGCCCTGACTGGGACTGAACCTGATGTGCCCTGACTGGTATGTGCCCTGACTGGAGCGACCTTTCAACGCTCTAACCAACTGAGCCACACCGGCCAGGGCATTTGCTCACTTTTTAACACACCATGGCCTGTGTCTAGCCCTTTTGCTCCTCCCGAGGTCCAGCCACAATGACCAGGGGAAGCCCTGTGTCCATCGCTGCCCAGAGCCGGGACACATGGCCTGCCTCTCTGCCTCAAATGGCAGCCCTCAAGATCCTGCCCCACCCTCACTCTCCCCAGCCTGTGCTCTCAGCCACGGAGGCCTGGGATCCACATTTCTCCCAACAGCCCGAGAGCCTCGCTTCTCATTTCAACCAGCCCCCAGCACAGGCTCTGCTGCCAACTATTATCTTGCTTGAGCCCCTACTCCCTCCTCTGCTCCAGCCTTCTCCGCCCTTGTCCCTCAGGCTGTTGAGGGAGCCCTGACTGCCTCCCAGCCCTTGCCCTGCCACCCCCAGTGCTTGCCCTGGCTCTGCCCGCAGGTCCTCAGTTCTCAAAAGTTTCTACCTCCAGCCTGGACTCAAGTTCAGATCCCACTAGCTGGCCACTGAGTGGGTGATTTCCAGCTCAATGCACTCAGGCCCATCTGATGCCACAGGTCCAATTCTGAATCCCTCTTTCCCATGCAGGTGCCACAACCAGCCACCCAGGGCCTCATTTCATCACCCTACTTCCTCTCTCGCCCTTCCCATCCATTCTCCATAATACAGCCCAAGTGCTCTTTGTTAAAAACATGGGAAAACATATCTCTACCTGCTTAAAACTCCCCTATGACTCCATCTTGTGTTCACGAGGCCCCTTACGACCCATCCCCTGTTCACATCTTGGCTGCATCTCTTGCAAGGCCCATCCCCAACACTCTGACACCAAAAATTTAAGTCCTGGCCAGTCAGGAGAGGCATGGCCTGTTCTTCTCACCTTTATATGTGTGGTCATCCTTGCCACCCTCCCAAATCTAATCCTTTGAAGTTCAAGGACAAGGACACTTCTGGGGAGTCTTTCCTGATCCTCATAGCATCTTTATGGCACTGGAAACACTAGAATCATGTTCATTTCCAGGCAAGCTGGTGTTGCACTGTCATCTCTATATCCGGCACCTGGTCAGGGCCCAGTGCTGAGCAAGAACCTCCCGGTGCTAAAGAGCTGGTGTTTCCAACACCACCTCAGCCTCCCTAAGGTACCGATTCTGATTGGATGTGACTTTGGCATTTGGAGAGTAACTTGAATGTGAGGTAAGGCTCACTGTAACACCAGGGAGATGGCAGATGTGGAAGAGATGCAGTGCTAAGGGAAAATGGGCGAAGTGTACTCCAGGGTTGGTGCGGAGCCGGGCGGCAGGAACTGGGGCAACTCTGAGGAGTCAGGGGGAGGCTGCATGCCCGTCAGAGCCAGCACCTTCTCTGCTTCTCACACAGCATGTGAAAGGGAACTCAGAGGCTAACTCTCTCCCTTCTCCGAACTGGCAGGAATCCAGCAGAAGGCAGTCAAGACGAAAGAGGAGCTCTGTACATGGTGGGGGGTCTCTGCTTGGCCATGCCCCCCGCCTTGACCTGGATGCTGATCCCCATGTTCATTATTAATTTGAGCACATAGGGCACTCTGGGGGGCACACTGTGGTGGGAGGTAGGCTGCTTTATCCTGAGAGGCATTTGTTATGAGTCTTAGGGGACAACCTCTGTGAAATTACTGCCAACGCCACAGACATGAACAGCCCACGACGGGCCCCTTTCTTGAACTCACCTCTTCTCCTGCAGCAAGTAATCTAAGCTGTTGATGTAGGTTTCTGAGCTCCCAGGGGTGAACTGGAGAAACAGGACATGGGGATGGGGAAGAAAGAGAAACAAGTAGAAGAAAGAGAAAAAAGACAAAATAGAGGGAAAACAGAATAAAATTTAATCTAAATTAAGCCCTTTATTTTTGTTCACTTTTCTAAATAGGCAATCCGTTCACATGACTAAAAAGTCAAAAAGCCGAAAGGCATTCAGTTGAAGGCCCCCCCCGCCCGCAGCATGCTGTCAGAGATAGCCTGCTCAAGGGCAAGCGGGCAGCGTCACAGAGCCCCTTCAACACAAAGAGTAGCACGCCATCCTGCACTTTGCCCTTTGCATGTTACAGTATGTCTGGAGGGTCATTCCGTATCAGTACTACAGAGGAAACTTAAAAAATACTTTTAGGGTACTCTGATGTGTGACTAGCACAGAATTTATTAGTTCCCTAGTGGTGGGCATTTCAGTGACTGACAATCTTGGGCTATCAGAGACAATTTGAAGCCCTATTCTTAGAATACATTTCCTTATGTATTCTACCTAGCAACAGCAGTTTACTCTGCTCGTGACGTTCATCGCAGAAGTGTCCGTTCAGGAATCTAGGCCCAGTGGACCACAGTCAGCCGAGTCTCTGTCCTGACTAGCCCTGGCCCAGCTCCAAGGTCCTTCCTTCTCCAGGGCCATAATCCTAACCATGGCTGTGAAGGCCTTGAAGGGCTTCATGCAGGAGGGACACCAGATTTGGCACTTGCCAAGCCACCTCTTAGCAAGGGTTAGGAGTGGAAAGAAAGGGAGAGGGGTACCCCAGCCTTTAGGCCCCAAGGACTGCAGGGAGATTAGGGGTATATGTATATAGGGTCCAGAGGAGGTGGTCAAAGGAGGACAGTTGGGATATGGCCAAGGAGGAGTGTCAAAAAGGGGTGGCTTGGGAGTGATAGAGGAGGGTGACTGAAGATGGATGGCAAGGAGAGGGGGTACCCACCACTGGAGCCGCAGCCTGCTGGCTTGGGCCTGCCGTGTTCCAGAACAGCTCCTCCAGCGAGGCCAGGTCCCCCTTGGGGTCTGAGACCTGGGGCTTCTGCTCTAGCTCCACGGGCACCCAGCAGGACAGTCTCCTCAGTCCCTGAGGTTCCGCCGTATCCGCCCACCTGTGGGCTAGGGCCCCCCGGCCAGCTTCCTGAGTCCTCGGGGTCAGGAAATCAATGGGTGGTGGGCTCCAGTTGGTGGGAAACATGTCCCCTGTGGCCTGCATCTTGGGTTTCTTTGACAACTTGGCAGTTGGAGGTGAGGTGGGGCTGCAGAGGCACCGGGTGGGTCGGCGGACCCTCTCGTGGTGGGGATGGTCAAAGCCACTGTGGGCAGAAGGGTGGAGGTGGCAGCAGCTGTCTGGACCCCTGTGGACAGAAGGAATACTGCTGTGTCCCCATCTGACCACCACCGTCCCACCATGCTGGGTGAGGAGAGGGGGCAATTCTGGATCGCTTGGGCGAGATGCACGGGAAACCTCAGCCATGGATTTTCCATTCCGTTGTGGCCCCAAATCTCAGGAGGGCTCTACCTGTGCAGGTGAGGGATACCTACCTTCTCTCTGAGGAGGGGCTAGCACAGTCTTCTGGGACCTGGCCATCTGAAAACTTCTGGGAGTTCTGTCCTGGAAGGAGCTGCCTGTCAGGTGAGCTGAGGTGGGCCTCCCGAAGAAAGCTCATGTTCTGGGGCCCTAGGTTCCCAGAAAGAAGGGCCCAGCCCACTAGCACCCAGGGGGGCATCCTCTTGCAGCTCCACCCGAAGACCGAGCACGCACACTATGAAGATCAAGTTGCTGAGGTGACGGGGGCTCAGTGTAACCTCTCATTTTAAGGACATGATGGGCAAGTGTAAGGACATCAACAATTTTTAAAGCCTGTATAAAATTAAAACTAGCAGGCTCAGCAGGAAAACTGTGTTCTGAGATGACATCCTGAGCATCTTGTTTGTTTGATGTCACCGCTGTCAGGCTGTTTGCCCACAAGAACTGGGGCAGGGCTGTTCCCAGCATCAGAACAGGCTGCTACACAGCAGGGCTCAGTGCATTTCTGTTCAATGAATGAACGATTTAAACAGACCCAGGGTCTGGTGCAACACGCCTCCTCCAGTCTTAGGGACTATCTGTCCCCAGCTAAGATGGACCATGTCACTTACACCGACATCTCTCATCACATCAAGCGCAGGCTCAGGTAAACAGGAATGAAGGTGAAAGGCTAATTCTTTAACAAGCTAAAGAGTTGAATGATCAAAGGAAACAACAACTTACAGAAAAACAAACGCTAACTCAACAAGGGTTCAAACTCAACAATACTGAAAGAAATAGAAATCAATTTGACTATGAAATATTATTCAATAATAATCAAAAAATTAAAAATGTGTAACAATAAATGTTGACATTGCTGTGAGGACATGCATGGCTGTTAGCACTGTAAGATAGATTATTCTTTTTAGAGCGCAGTCTATTAATAGAAATAACTGTAAAAATGTCCATATCTGGGAATACGGAACCCCCTAAATCTATCCCTTCACAAAAGCAATAGTTAAATTGGCAAAAACTCTTACAATCAACATGTACAGAACTTTGGAATCTAACCAGAAACTAGCAATAACCTGGGGAATGCTTAATGAAGAAAGAAGCTGCTAAATTTCAGTAAGATGGCAATCTGGCTTTTGAACATAACTGCCTGTCCCCAGAGGAAGCCCTGGGGACTGTATTCCTGGTATGGTTTTCTGGTGTTGTTTCGGGGGAAGGAGGCAGGAAATCCAAATGGTGTTCCTAAAGAACTGTTGGCATGTGTTTGACCTGTCCAGTGGCTCCCCGACAGATTGGCTTAGGGTCTTGCCTTTGTTTTATCCCTTTCATAACTTTTTCAGGGAAAAAATGTTCAAAGGCAAATTTCTAGCCATAGCCACCTGGGGGAAGGGATAACAGTCAGGGCAAGCAGCAGAGAGACTGAACAGCCTAAAAAGGAAGAGTGTGAGGAAGGAGATACATGGAGGAATGAAGGTTTTGAAAGACTCTTACATAGTCCAGAGAAGCTAGAAGGCAACATGTGTGTCCAGGGCTAATGCATGCTCAGAAAGACCTGAGAAGAACATAAACTTTCACCTCTGGCTGATGATCAGGCTCCATATAATCAGGAAGTGAAGGCTAAGGCACAGTTACAAGAGGTCTGGCTAAGTGTTGAAAAAGAACTTCAGCACAGAGCCAAACTGCAAAGACCAGGAGAATTGTGTGGGGTTTTTTTTGTTGCCATTCTTGTTTAGGCTCTAGGCATTTAAGAAAATCTCTATAAAATCACCAGTTGACTTTTATGCTAAAGGAACAGTGACGTCAGTGACCGCACGCAACAAAATAATAAAGTCTTTTAAAAAACTGTTTAGGGAGGTTCTGGCCAAGATGGAGGCATGGGTAGGTATGCTTTGCCCCCTCGCACAACCAAAAGAAGGAAACAACCAATTTAAAAACAAAAAAACAACCAGAAAATCAAACTGTATGGAAGTCTGACGACCAAGGAGTTAAAGAAGAAATATTCATTCAGACTGGTGGGAGGGGCGGAGATGGGCATCCAGGGTGGAGAGGACGCATGGCAAGCAGCAGACCAGGCAGGTGGTCCCACATTCACATGGGGGATAAGCTGGGAAGAACAACTGGGGAGTGAGACAGACTGCACAACACAGGGTTCCAGGGCCAGGCAAATAAAGCCTAAAAATTGCTTGCTGTAGAAACCTGTGTGGGTTGCAGTGGTGGGAAAAACAGCCAGTCTCAGGAGAGTCCTTTGGAGGGGACCACGGGATCCTAGATCATACACAAGTCAACTCGCCCAAAATCAGCAACTGAAAGGGCACAATCTGCTTATGGGAAGTGAGGGAAGTGACTGAATGCAGTGCAAGAGCCAAGCAAGTGGCATTATTCCCTCTCTGACCCCTCCTCCATGTAGAGCACCACAACACAGTGAAGGGGTCTGTCCCGCCCTGGTGAATACCTAAGGCTCCACCCCTTACAACATAACAGGTACATGGAGAAAAAGAAATACGGCCCAAATGAAAGAACAATCAAAACTCCAGAAAAAGAACTAAGCAATGAGGAGATAGCCAATCTTTCAGATGCAGAGTTCAAAACATTGGTAATCGGGATGCTCACAGAAATGATTGAGTACAGCCACAACATAAAGGAAGAAGTGAAGGCTATGCAAAGTGAAATAAAGCAAAACAGACAGGGAACCAACAGTGAAGGCAAGGAAACTGGGATTCAAATCAATGATTTGGAACAAAAGGGAGAAATAAACATTCAACCAGAACAAAATGAATAAACAAGAATTTAAAATAGTGAGGAGAGGCTTAGGAACCTCTGGGACAACTATAAATGTTCCAACATCTGAATCGTAGTGGTGCCAGAAGAAGAAGAGGAAGAACAAGAAATTGAAAATTTATTTGAAAAAATTATGAAAGAAAACTTCCCAAATCTGGTGAAGGACACAATCATACAAGTCCAGAAAGCTCACGGAGTCCCAAAAAAGTTGGACCCAAGGAGGAACACACCAAGACACATCATAATTAAATTGCCAAAGATTAAAGACAAGGAGAGAATCTTAAAAGTGTCAAAAGGAGCGAGTTACTTACAAAGGAGTTCCCATAAGACTATCTGCTGATTTCTCAAAAGGAACTCTGCAGGCAAGAGCAGGCTGGAAAGAAATATTCAAAGTCATGAAAATCAAGGACCTACATCCAAGGTTACTCTATCCAGCAAAGCTATCATTCAGAATGGAAGGGCAGATAAAATGCTTCCCAGATAAGGTCAAGTTAAAGGAGTTCATCATCACCAAGCCCTTATTATATGAAATGTTAAAGGGACTTATCTAAGAAAAAGGTAGATCAAAACTATGAACAGTAAAATGACAAAAAACTCACAATTATCAAAAACTGAACCTAAAAAGCAAAAAACAAAAACATACTAAGCAACCAACTAAAACAGGAACAGGACCACAGAAATGGAGATCACATGGAGGGTTATCAGCACGCACAGGGAACGAGAATGGGGGAAAGGTACAGGGAATAAGAAGCATAAATGGTAGGTACAAAATAGACAGAGGGTGGTTAAGAGTAGTATAGGAAATGGAGAAGTCAAAGAACTTATATGTGTGACCCATGGACATGAACTAAGAGTGGGGGAATGCTAGAGGGAATGGGGATGCCAGGCACAGGGAGATAAAGAGGAAAAGAAGATTGAGGCAAATGTAATAGCATAATCAATAAAATATACTTAAAAAAACAGCTTAGAAAAGTCATTTAACAAACAGACTAGTACAACTCGTAACAGGCAGCAACAGCAAACCCTTGGAAGGGGGACAATATTATTTCCAGAGTTACTGCATTATAATATTCAAAATGTCCAATTTTCAACAAAAATATAAGGCATACAAAGAAACAAGAGAGTATAGTTCAGTCATGGGAAAAAATAAAGAAAGAAAAAATGTCCCTGAGGAATTTCAGAAATTGGACCTACTAGACAAAAACTTTAAATCAACTGTCTTAAATATGCTCTAAGAGATAAAGGAAATAATGGACAAAAAGCTAAAGGAAACAAGGAGAATGACATCTCACCAGGTAGAGAATATCAATAAAGATAGAGGAATTATAAAAAGGAACCAAACAAAACTTTTCAACTCTTTTCTGTAGTTGAAAAGTATAAAAAGTTGAATGAACTCTGACTAGAAGGTTTCAACACCACATGTGAGCAGGCAGAAGAAAGAATCAATGAACTGTTGAGATGATCAAGGCTGAGGAACAAAATGAAAAAGAAATAAAGAAAATAAACAGAGTCTCAGAGACCAGGGGGACACCATCAAACATATCAACATATGCATTAAACGAATCCTAGAAGGAGATGAGAGGGAGAGAGAGGAATAGAGACATGGGGTGGGGGCGGGTAGGTAATTAGGTAGGTATTAACCTGAGCTACACTGTGAACTATATGATATTTATAGGTAAATAACATTGCAAGTATTACTGTATTTTTGGTTTATAAGTTTTTTCTATATAATTAAGACAAATGCATAAAACAATAATTATATATCTATGCTAATGGACACAATGTTTAAAGATGTAATTTGTGACAATGAAAGCAGGAATGGGAGGGATGGAGTTGTACAGGAGCAGAGTTTTTATATACTATTGCAGGTAAGTTGATATTAATTCCAACTAGTTTGTTATACAATTAAAATATAATCTCCAGGGTAGTCATTAATAAAATAATTAAAAATATGAAGAAAAGGAAAGGAGGAGGGAATCAAAATGATACACTACAAAAAAATTAATTAAACACAAAAGAAGGCAGTGATAGAGTACCTGAAGAACAAAAATGACATAAGATATATTGGAAACAAATAGGAAAATGGCAGAAATCTTTCCTTATCAGTAATTAGTTTAAATGTAACTGGATTAAACTCTAACATCAAAAGACATATATTGACAAAATAGATTAATAAGAAACACGATCCAACTATGTATATGTTGTCCACAAGATACTTCATATCCAAAGATACAAATAGGTTGAAAGTGAAAGTGAAAGTGAAAGTGAAAAGCCACTTCATTGAGATCAAA